CTATCTCGGCCATACTCTGATATTACATGGTTACATGTATCCAAATTTTCAGTTGTAAAACACCCACATATCTCTGCATCCATGTTGCTCTTTTGCAAGAAAAAAAAAACAAAACCCAACTGATACAACTGAAATATGGGTTAGGGTTTCAGAGCCTGAAAACATTAGCATTGAAGTGTTAATGTGTTAACATTAACATTAATTCAGAAATTAATCTAGAACGGTTAATTGTTTTGGTCAAAGCTTTAACAATTTGTTGTGTTAATTGTTTGTAATGTTGCATTTTAATTTTTTAATTAGCTAACATTAATGAAATGATTCACCCCCTCTCCAGTAACAAATTCAAATTATGCAAAACATTAAGGATTAGTCAAACTGTTAATATCATACTAACAGTAAAAATAACAGCTGGTCATCTGCTTGGGATGTACAGTACATCTTCTTAAATGGTCTTACATGAAATTGGATCCAGGAGTTTCACAATATCAATATCCACTTGGTTCTGTCATGACATGAGAATGTGATGGGCATCCCTTGCTAATGATGTAGTGACTGATGCACCATGTCTCGATACACAATTAACATTGATGCATATCAAAACATTTCCTAATGTGCATCCAGCCACTGATTAGGAAAGGCCAGAGCATAACAAGAGTGCCTAATGTGCACCTGAAGTGTTGCTCAGTGTGAATCACAGGTATCCAGTATGATGCTTATTGCAAGTGACTATTGTGCATCAGAAGAACCTGATGTGCACCAAGTGCTTGCTGTGCACCAGAAGTGTCAAATTGCAAGTGCCTGATGTCCATAAAAAATGCCTAGTGTGCATCAGAAGGGTCCAGAGTGCACCACAAGGGCCTGATGTGCAACACAAGTTCCCAGTATGTATCATGTGTCCAAAGTGTATCACAAGTACCTGCTATGCTACAGTCGCACCCCGTGTACATACATCACTAGTGCCCAGTGATGCTTATTGCAAGTGACTATTGTGCATCAGAAGAACCTGATGTGCACCAAGTGCTTGCTGTGCACCAGAAGTGTCAAATTGCAAGTGCCTGATGTCCATAAAAAATGCCTAGTGTGCATCAGAAGGGTCCAGAGTGCACCACAAGGGCCTGATGTGCAACACAAGTTCCCAGTATGTATCATGTGTCCAAAGTGTATCACAAGTACCTGCTATGCTACAGTCGCACCCCGTGTACATACATCACTAGTGCCCAGTGATGCTTATTGCAAGTGACTATTGTGCATCAGAAGAACCTGATGTGCACCAAGTGCTTGCTGTGCACCAGAAGTGTCAAATTGCAAGTGCCTGATGTTCATCAAAAATGCCTAGTGTGCATCAGAAGGGTCCAGAGTGCATCACAAGGGCCTGATGTTCACCAGAACTGCCCAATGTGCTTCATAACTTCCCAATGTATATTGCAAGTGCCCAAAGTGTATCACAAGTACCTGATATGCTACAGCAGTACCCAGTGTATATAAGGGACCAGAGGTGAATCACAAGTTCCTGATATAATAAATACACACACACAATATAATATAAACTAATAAATAAATAAAGTGCCTGACATGCACCAGAAGTGCCCAGTGAGCATTGCAAGTGACTGGTGTCCATCAAAAATGCCTAGTGTGCATCAGAAGTCCAGTGTGCACCACAAGGGCCTGATGTGCAACACAAGTTCCCAGTATGTATCATAAGTGTCCAAAGTGTATCACAAGTACCTGCTATGCTACAGTCGCACCCAGTGTACAAACATCACTAGTGCCCAGTGTACAAAAGGACCCAGAAGTGCACCACAAATGCCTGATGTGCACCAGAAGTGCACAGTGTGCATTGCAAGTGCCTAGTATCCATCAGAAATGCCTAGTGTGTGTCAGAAGGGTCTACGATGCACTACAAGGGCCTGATGCGCAACACAAGTTCCTAGTGTGTATTGCAAGTGTCCAAAATGTATCACAAGTGCCTGCTATGCTACAGTGGCACCCCGTGTAACTTACATCACTAGTGCACAGTGCGCACAAGGACCCATAGGTGCGCTGCAAATGTTTGATGTGCACTAGAAATGCCTAATGTGCACCATAAATTTCCAATGGGTATCGTAAGTACCCAAAGTACCCAAGTGCCTGATATGCTACAGTGGTGCCCAGTGTATATAATGGCTCACAGGTGCACCACAAGTGCCTGATGTGACGAGAAGTGACATTGCAAGTGCCTGGTGTCAATCAAAAATGTGCATCAGAAGGGTCCAGTGTGCATCACAAGGGCCTGATGTGCAACACAAGTCCCCAGTGTGTATCGCGAGTGTCCAAACTATATCACAAGTGCCTGATATGCTACACAGGTACCCGGTGTACATACATCATTAGTGCCCAGTGTACACAAGGATCCAGAGATGCATTGCAAATACCTGATGTGCACCAGAAATGCCCAGTATGCATCACATTCCCAATGTGTACTACAAGTACTTAAAGTACACCAGAAGTGCCCAGTGTGCACATCAGAAAGGCCATATGTACATCAGAGCACTCTTGCCAGTGTCCAGATGTGCACCTTTGCCAATTCAACAGAATTTAATTGCTTTTGTACAACACAGCTATTATTTGTAAAGTTATGAAACACAGATTGCAATGTAGGACTTGGCCAAGAAGTTCTATTTTTTAAAATAACAAATGAGGTGTAGTGAATTCATTTTTTAAGAGACCAGTTCCAGGCATGTGTTCCTCCCTGTGTGGGATGCGTGGGAGAGAAGACCAGAATTGGGTTATGGAAAGGGGGCCAAAGACCACAGGGAGAGTCTCAGGTTTCTGCTCAGCAGCCAAGTGCAAGCATAGAACCGATCTTTATGAGAGAGGAAGTGTTATTTCCTCCAACACAGGGATATTATTATTCCCTCAGACACAGGTGTGGGTCTCATTTTGAAACAATGCAATAGTATTAAAAATCAAACCCTGGTAAATTTATGCCGCACTTGACAGAGTTATTAGCCGTTCTGTAAGTCATTGCTGGCTGCTATTAGCACGATTTGAGCAGGTAATGGTGTATTTTGCTGAAAGGGGGAGGGGGCATCTTTTATTTAAATGCCGTCCAAATGGTGCGATGAAACTTTAATAAACGAGAGGGGGCTAAATGATTGAAATGCTGTGCTGGCGGCACAAAATTGCTCTGGGTTCAGGGAGCGACAGAAAGGGGAAAATGGGAGAATGGGGTCAGGGAAAGTTCTATTTGCAGTGTCAGATGGAGATCTAGGAGGGCTGGAAATTGGAAACGAAAGCGAGTTGTACTGCTAGAGGACGTATTTGGGGCAAAGGGAATGGTTCATGTCACAGGAGATCTTCAACAGCTTAAACCCCATGGGTCACTACCACCTGCTTCCACGTCTTTTCTTTTTGCCACAGGGCTGTTTAATAATGCAAAAGAAGCAAAGCCCTGAGTTTCTGTGACTATGGGTGGCTGTGATTCCACTGCGAATCACAGCCAGTTACAGAGTGGCAAGTCCCACTTGGCTTCAGGTCTCCAGTTTACTGTCAGCTTGAAGACAGTGGCACAAGGAAATAAAGCATCAGAGAGAAAGGAAACAGAGCCTAGGAAGGAAGGATTTGGGTGGATATTGACAAAGCAATCTGAGAAAGGTGTTTCATCAGAGCAAGACACATGGAAGAGCAGACCGTGAGCAGAGTAAAGAAAATGGCAGAGAAAAACAGAAGGAAAACATATTTCCAGGTTGCAAGGAACTCTGGAATGTACCTGAGGGAGAGGGAGCTTATTACCAATATATTGACATTTTACATCAATCCCAACATTTCTAGAATGACACAGATATTGAAAATTGAGATATTGAGAATCAATCAGCTAACACCTCCCAACAAAGGATTCCCCCAGGCAGGAAGCAGTCAGTCTTTGAAGCTGCAAGGCGATTCAATGTTAATCAAGGTGGCCAATTGAAACATTCACATCTGCCTCAAACAGATAAAGAGTTTTTTCTCCCACCCTGGACATTTCACAGATATATAAACCCCACGTGCCTAGTTTTGCCTGCCATAGATGTGGGCAAAACTTCAGGAGAGAATGCTTCTGGAACATGGCCATGCCACCTGGAAAACACACAGTGACCCATTTATATTTCTATCCAAAAAGCCTGCTTTCTTGGCATAAACAAGTTTTCTGCATCATTTCCAAGTGAGAGACAGAATTATCCACATAGGAGATCTATTTTCTTATTAAATAACAAAAAGAATTTTTTTCTCCATGGAGTTATTTCTGCGAAATGTTGTGGAATGTCAAATAACAGAAGAAACATGCACAAATTCCTCACCAGTCTATTATTCTTCCTAATAGAAATTTCTTGACAATCAGAAAATCTGCTTGTTTGTTTTTAAATCAAGGAACAAATAATTGTAAATATTGGGTTGCTGTGAGTTTTCCAGGTTGTATGGCCATGTTCCAGAAGCATTCTCTCCTGACGTTTTGCCCACATCTATGGCAGGCATCCTCAGAGGTAGTGAGGTTGCAAATATTGCAAATATTTATTTCCATAATTGTGGATTTGGAGAATTGAAATTTAAGACTTTTGGTAGTCGAAAGGATTTAAGGCAGAAGTGGGCAACTGCGAAGAGGGCCACATATTTTAGTACAGCCACGGTGATGTAATATCACTTGTGCCATTTTGGCCTATTTTCTGTCATTTTCCTCCCCCCCCCGCCCCCAATGTTTTCTGGAGATTGGGGTGGTAGTCATTTTTTCTTTGGTTTGGGGCAGCCCCACAAAAACAGCTTGAAAAAAACAAGTTTGGGAGTTTTCTTGGGGTTGCTGATCCAGTGAACTGTATTGCGAGGACTTAATCCTATCCCACTCAATGGAGATATCAAGATAGCAAAGTTGGTGACATTTTACTGTGTCTAGAATGGGAAGGAAGCAAGTATATGCCCAAAATGAAACAGTAGATGGACATATTTACTCTTTGAAGACATATATACCCCAGTTAGAGGCACAAACTCACCTTAGTGTTGCATTGTCCCCCTGACAAACGGTGTAATTGTCGGCTGGTTGATTAAAATCCACTCCCCGAACCAGCAACCCTGTATAACAAAAGGCACACAGACAGAAGATGCTCATTAGAATTTGGTTGTAGATTTGCCATATTGAGTCAGGAGGAAATAAAATACATCTCTGTTTTGGGAAAAAGACCTTTTCACAGTCCAGCTGTTGTCAGTCTAGAACAGGAAGAGGCGAACTTTGGCCCTCCAGATGTTTTGGACTTCAACTCCCACAATTGTGGGAGTTGGAGTTCAAAACACATGGACGGCCAAAGTTTGCCCATGCCTGATCTAGAGTCATACAAGTTTCCAAACTCGGCATTCTGTAATCTGATAGAGGTCTGTTTAACCTAAATTCAGCACCACTCTACATTAACATAGAATAGGCAATTAGAAATCCACTGCATCATTTAAAACTACTTTGCAAAATATGCCCTTTTGTATTCACTTAGCCTAGAAATGTGTGTTCTGCCCTATGTATACTTTGCATTTGTAGTGTATTCCTAAAATATACTGTTGTTGACAAAATATGCTAATATAGACATATTAATACCTTGAAGTACACATTTCTCAATACATTTTACTTTGAAGTACTCATCTTGCTATATTTTGGTGCACTTTTGGAGGTAAGGCTTTTAAAAACCAGGATATTGGGAAAACCAATGGACAACTAGGTTGAGCATCACTTTTTCAGAATTCTGCAATTCAAAATGCTCCGAAATCCATAACTGTCTGCATGGATGACTGAGATAGTGCTACTTATAGTTAAATGTTCACAAACTTGGTTGCTTGAACAAAATTATTACAAATGTTAGGTATATAATTACCTTCAAGGCTATTATTATTATTATTTTGTAATTATTATTACCATAGTAAGACTGTAGGAATTAATAATAATAATAATAATAATAATAATAATAATTGTGTGGTTTTCTGACATTGTATATTTCTGCTGCTTCTGTGATTGTTCATTTGTATTTTGATTCTGTAGCCCACTTGTTGATGGATGTCAAAAATCAGCAGAATCCACTGCGGTCCTTTTTATCCTGGGCATCAACCGAGCCAGTATAGACTTCGTTTTGGTTTGTTTCTCCATAGTGCTAATGGTTAAGTACTCTTAGTTCCACTCCTCAGCTGAGACCTCTCTGACTTGGTTGGACCTGCTGGTAGTTACACTACCACGAGCACAGCTCTCATCATCCTTGGAGCAGTTAAGCCCCCCACCATGACAAGGCGGCACCCATACCAAAAGATCTCAGCCAGCATTTGGAAAGAATAAACATTGTCAAAATCACGATCTGTCAACTGCAAAAGGCCATCTTACTTGGCTCTGTGGCAAAATACATCACACAATCCTAGACGCTTGGGAAGTGTTCGACTAGTGATTTTGTGACATGAAATCCAGCATATATATCTCATTTACAACAACCAACAAATACAACCAAGAGCTGCATATAGACAATACATAAATCTAAAACGATAAAACCATAGAGTTACAATCATGCACATACATAATTGCAATGTAAAATATTAAAATTCATAAAATGCAGTCATAGCTGCATAGCTGTCTCAATTGGACACAAGTTGTATGAGACAGACCAGTGCAGGTGTGATGTCAACAGTAAGTCCTCGGACTAATCCTAAAAAACCTACATAAGATCGAAGGCTTGTTTAAAAAGCCATGTTTTAAAACTGGAATGGAAGACTTGAAGCGATGGGGCTAGGCTGATCTCTCTAGGGAGGGCATTCCAGAGCCTGAGTACCACCACCAAGAAGGCCCTCTCTCTCGTCCCCACCAACTGTATTTGAGAAGGTGGTGGGACGGAGGGAAGGCCCTCCCCAGCTGATCTCAATGCCTGCACCAGTTCATAGAAGGAGATGCGGTCTCAAAGATAGGTTGGACCTAACGCCAGGCCTGTAGCGAGGCCCCTATGGATATCAAAAATCCATGGATGCTGATGCCTTTGATCTCTGATTGTTTTTAAATTGTTTTAAATGGTTTTTAAATTGTGTTCGATTTTAGCCTGTTCTTGTAAGCCGCTCCGAGCCCCAGGGGAGTGGCGGCATATAAGTTCAAATAATAATAAATAAAATATCTAATTAAGGAGGCCAGACTTGGTGGAGGTGGTTGACAGGGGCGGAGCTGCAGGCTATTGAAGGCTGCTCTGCCCCCTGCTGTGCTCTTTGCTTCAGAGTGAGCTAGGAGGCAGGTTTCACCCCCCCTGGGAAAAATTTCAACCCCCCACCCGAAAATTTCAACCCTTCACAAAAAAAATTTCTGGCTACGGCCCTGCCTAACGCTATGTGTACAAGGAAGATGTTAAACACAAATATGTGTACTTAGACTTGGGTCCTATCCCTGAAATATATTATTATGATATATATGCAAGTATTCTTTTTAAAAAAACCAACCTCAAATCTAAAACACTTTTGGTGTCAAGCATTTTGAATGAGAGACACTCAACCCATATTAATCATTAAATGTGCAGATCATTATTTAAAATGTGATCTGAATTAAATTCCTAAGAATTTTTTTGTTTTTGTTTCAGATGCCATTGTGGAACTTAAATGCCGCACGTTAAGACAACATCAGGTTCCTAGCACCTGATATCTTGGCACAGTGCCTTCGAAGAGGAGTCTCTCTATGTTAATAATAATAGTAATTATTATTTTATTTTTTACCTGTCTCTCCTCATGTCTTGGGGTGGGTTGTTATACTTTCAGTGAACTTATGGAGCCCCAGTGGCGCAGTGGGTTAAACCCTTGTGCTAGCAGGACTGAAGGCTGACAGGTCAGAGGTTCGAATCCAGGGAGAGGTGGATGAGCTCCCTCTATCAGCTCCAGCTCCCATGCAGGGACATGAGAGAAGCCTCCCACAAGGGTGGTAAAACATCAAAAAACATCCAGGTGTCCTCTAGGCAACATCCTTGCAGACGGCCAATTCTCTCACACCAGAAGCGACTTGCAGTTTCAGAAGTCGCTCCTGACATGACAAAAAAAAAAGTGAACTTATCTTGCAATCTCATTAATATGAGAAATTATTGTTAATGACTAACTGGATGCGCAACGTTTTAACAGGGGGATTGTGTAAGTTACAATCCAAAAACGAGGTCTGCAAATTATGCAGACATCTCTGGAAAGATTACAATGAGGCCTTGTAGCCATTCCCAGCTGTTGATATGCAAAGGTACATTGCCATGGAGCATGGAAGCTCATTTTTGTCAATAGGCCTATTAGGCGCCTTCAGTTCCCTCTATCTAGATTCCCTTTGCTTTGGAAACTTGACCCAACAATCCTTGCTTCCAGCCTATGAAGTAACCACCGGTGGAATATACGGCCCTCCATCAACAAGGACATTTTACTGCCAGCTCCTATCTGGGTTGTGAAGAGAGAATTTATGAAAGAATTTGACTGAAGGTACAAGACTCTCCTCCCTTCTGTATTTGTGCATGGGTGCGCATGCATGTGCAGCCTAGACAGCCCGAGGGCTCATCAACGAGACTGTCTCATCCGATTTGCCTCAGCTGTCCTTCTCTGTCAAAAATCCACTAACTCCTTCTGCCACTGAGATAGTGTCAGGAGCCCTAGAGACCGGGCTGAAGATAGCTGGGAAAGTGGTTCTTTTTATTTAGGGAAGCAGGGGATGAAGAGAAAACCACGCACAATCTGGCCATTAAGAGCAACAGACCAGATGCTCAGATAAATGTCAAAGTGTAGGCATCCATCTTAGCGGCCATTTCTACAATCTCTGATACTCCAAGCAACATCCATGCAAACAATATTAGCAGCTGATCTGACCACAGACAAGGAGTTTTCATCTTCACCAGAAGTAGGTCTTTTGTAAAGCTAACGGTTCCTAATTGCTTATTAAAGTCCAAGGCATCAACAACAGTTTGCATTACAATTACAATGGCTTGTAGTTTTATTTTCTGATGATGTCTTTATTTTCTGATTTTTTGTTTATTAAGTTACAGTTAGGTTTTTCTATATTATCTAATGTGCTTTGTTTTGATGTACGAGGGTTGAATGAAAAGTAATGCCTCCACCTTCGTTACTTGGGTTTGGATGGGAATATTTTAATAAATCAAATGCAGAAATAATCCTTAGAATGTGCTCTTTAACTACCACTATTCACTTTTCCACATAATCACCAGACAATTGGATACATTTCTCCCAACGAAATGCCGTCACGGAAGAAGTCGACACTCTGTTTCCGCAACCCACGGTGCACAGATTTTCCAATAGTCAAGCAAAGCAATAATGTGACCCACATGTTCTTGTGAAATGCCGATTGTGCTTGAAATTTCTCTCTGAGTGATACGACAATCATCCCGAATCAATCTGTCAACCTTTTGCTTGTGAAACTCGGTGGTTGCTGTCACAGAACGTCCAACTCTTTGTTTGTCACACAAGTCAGATGTTCCCACTTCAACATCTTTAAATTTTCTTGTCCAACGATGCACAGTACTCACATCGACACAATCACCATAAACAGCTTGCATTTTCTGATGAATCTCATTTGGGGTGACAACTTCTACTTTAAAGAATTCAATGACTGCATGTTGCTTAAGTCTGAGCAGGGTTCCATACTTCGCACTTTAACAACACAACTGTTTAATGCTAAGGCTTCCTGCCAAAATGGAACTGTAGAGGGGTGTCTACTGAAAAAGCCAGTACCTGCCGCATACCAATACGGCCATCTGTTGAAGAGTTACAAAGGTGGAGGCATTACTTTTCATTCAACCCTAGTAAATTGTATGGTTTTCTTTTTGGCATTGAATGGTTGCCATATTTGTTGGAAGCCACCCTGAGTCCCTTCGGGGAGATAGGGAAGTCTATAAATAAAGTTTGATGATAATGATGATGATGATGATAATGATGATTGTAAAAGTATATGGCTGCTAGCGAAATCGATTTCTCCTTCCCAGCTACTCTGAGGATTGCAGATAAGCATGACAGGCAAACTTGAAGAGAGTGAGATATGATATCATAATCACAAGGTCCAGGCATTTTGGACTGGTGAACCTTGACTTGACTGCACC